TTTTTTTGGTAAGAAATGATGTATAATAATTGTTTGGTTGGATTGGAAAAATATTAAGAAAAAAAATGTTGAAACAACACTTACATTTAAAAGAGTCAAAAAAGATGCTAATTTAAAAATTCTTAGAAACCATGTTTATTGAAATTAAGGAATGAGACTTATTTTAAATTTAAGCTCAATGTTTTCTTTTTAAAATGATCTGTAATAATCACACCTAATAACCATTTATCAAAGAAATACCTTCTTGAACAACAAAATTCAACAGCACCACTTTTCACTAAACTTCTAACCTCACATCTGGATGAATAAGTTTAAAGTGTACCTAAAAATCCTACAGTGCGGATTTCTACGTTTTTTATACAGATTATTTCTTGTATACACTTGTATAGTAGAAAGTACAGACAGTTCTAAATGCGTCGAATAGATAACTACCATTTTAAAACGTCAAGTCACTGCCAGCTCTCGTGGTTTCTATTATATATTAATATATTCTAGGCAACAAAGGGGGCCAACGTTCCCTTTTTGGGAATACACTATATTTTGGATATTACAACCACTGCATAAAATTTTAAATTTTATTGTGTTAATAATAGTCACAAATAAAACATATCAACGTGGCATTTGAAATGTGAATTTGACTAAACAAAATTTTCTGCTGTTTAGCTGTCAAATTTTACAAGATTTTCTGGAATGTTTCTAGTTCTAGTGTTAGTTCCTAGTTTTAATTGTTATTCAGCGCTAGATTGTTGTAAACCTTTTTTGAACTAGAACTAGAACTAGAAACATTCGGATTTAGCCGTGTTAAGAGACGCACGGCTAAACCCGAATGTATCTAGTTCTAAGTCTAGAGTTAATTCTAGTGCTAGCATATAACGAGGATTATAAGAGGTATTATAAAGAGGTTATAAGACACGTTAATTTTTTTTATCTGAATCTAAGTAAGTTTATGTAGGTAAGTTTTGTGTTGTTGAAATCGGGTTTTGTTGGGATGCAAATCGAAAGAAAACAGAGCCGGGTAGTAATTGGAACGAAGGTTTCCAATTCAGAGTATGAATCAAAATTCGGTCGGGAAATACCACGCGACGATGACACGGGTAATCTATTTAAACGGAAACCGGACACCGGAGAGTCCTTTATAGGGACAAACGGGATGACGCCGGGAGGCGCGATTGGATTCCTTTGTGTCCTCGAATGTTTTGTAATTACCTCCCGCGGCTCCGTTTCGCAATTCTCTCGATATATTCGAATTTTTTTTCTCACCCCCAGTAATTTTCAATAAACGCGCGAAGAAAAAATTGACTGATTTAGATGGTACCAATAAGAAATTCAAGTAAGTACATGATGAATTAAAATCAAAATCATGAATTACTACTACAGCTGTAAGAAATGAGAAGAGAGCATTTTTCGGTTCCATTGCTGTCCCTGGTCATGGAGGGCAAATGTGGTGCAAATTGAAGTCATTGAATATTAGATCACATAAAGATGCTACCTTGCCGTCAAATTTAAGGTTTCCTGATAAGATTAATGAATATTTTGTGGATAGTGTCAAAGAAATTGTTAAAGACTTCTTAGAGACTTCCAAGGGTCTGGTTTAG